ACAGGTGCTCGTGCTGGGAATTCAGAAGATGGAGCATTATAGCTTCAAGTCTTGTTTTGTTATTCGTTTATGAATCCTATGTTTTGTGAACACACACATTGTAAACACTCTCTTTCGAAAAGAAATGGTTGTTCATTACTTGCTTACCATATACATATCTCGTCATACTAAACATGACGTCCTCCACCCCCGAACGATTCCGTCGTTCCGGTTTTGGGGTGTGACATATTTGCCCTTTTATAAAGTAGTAGAGAGAAAGGTTTTTGGGGCTCCACAGTCAATAGGACGGCATCGCGTTTTTCAAGTACTCCAAATGAACTCGCTAGCCGAGTAAGCAACATACCCCCTTAAAGAGGAGACCATCGTCTATCCTTTCTTGCACGTACCGCAAGAAAATCTACCAAAAGAAATGGTAAGTCCACGTAAACATCGGGGGATGTGAGAGCCCTCACGAAAAAGACGTCTATAGTCGGACACTTGTCCCCCTCCTGTCTCTGATTAATGGTGTTTGTGATGAGGCGATGAAAAAGACGATGAATAGGAGAGTGAATGTCACATTCTTGTGTAGTCCCCTTATCGTAAGCACCATTTTCTATTTCATTCCAATGTGCTTCCGCTCTAAACCCCTCAGTAATCCGAACACATCTAACAGTATATTGTTGATAGGCTTCAGAATGTGCCTTAGCCGGAATATAAATTCCCTTCCTAATAGCAAAATCAACAAGGCTTAAGGTACGCCTTTCTCCGCCAAGGAAAAAGGAAAGGTTGTCCTCAGCAAAAATACCATCTTTCCGTGCAAAAGAAATTGTGGCCAGAAACTCGATGACTAAATCCTTGTACATGACTTCCTGAGTTTCGAATAACCGTCGCCACCCCATACAAACAAATTACCCATGAATGCTATTGAACGCTTTATCGAATTATGGCTCAATTCCCTCCATTAATCCAGAATGTCCAATCCAGTGTCAATCCACGACCGTAGGAACATGGACTTTTTGTTGCTGCATCCAGTCAAGTTTTGCATTACATCTTGCATAAATCTCGGGCCCAACAGTCCTAGGAAAAGAATACCATGGAAAATCGGGGTGACTCCCGGGTTGGTGGCCTCGTACACGACTAGCCATTTCTATAAAATAACCAAAAAGAACACAAGAGGAAACCATGTGCATGAATGGAATCAGAACAAAACAGGATTGGGCTTAAAATTTCTTCACCACGACGAGTCATCATGGTCGACGTACTGTCGAGTTCTGTGGGTTTCGTCGGACCTCAATCCACACCATATCAACTCAAATCAACTTCAGGGTTTGTTCTTGGGATGAAATCAAGTAGGATAGAAACAAAATCTAGGGAAAAACGTCAATATTCGGGTCCGATTTTTGGAAAAATTGGAACCCTAAACTCTAAAATTCGGCCCTAAATGTGTTCTAATTAGTAAATCTATACCCTATACTAGCATAATAAGCGATCAAGAGTAAGGAAATCACACACAAATCATACCTTTTAGTTGAAAATTGCAAGAAATCGGAGAAGAAAAGATGTGTTCTTCGTGGGGAAGGAGGGCACAGCGAGAGAGAGGCAGAGTAAAAGTGAAAAAATGGTTTGACTGAGGTTTAAAAACCCTAATTTTTTTACTGTAGTTAAATCGTCACCACGTCGTGGTGTCACTAAAAAACGTAATTCGTGTTCTGCAATGTTTTCCACGTCGTGTTGGCTTTTACCACCTCGTGTTGAGGTAAAAACAATTTATATTTGTCAAAGTCTTAAAAGTATCCACCGCACACTCGTTTGATTCCATTCCCCACGTTGAATTTCATAGAAATTTTGAAGAATGAGAGAGTAAAGCATAAAGCAAAACTAAACAAAAGAAAATAAAATAAAAGTAAAGGAAAGAAAAATGCAAACTCAAAATCACAGGTTGCCTCCTGCAAGCGCTTCTTTTTGGTGAGTCATAAGCCGGACTCCTTGCCACTTTACGTTGTTTCATCTCGTGTAAATTTAACGATCTTCCCCCTCTTTTTCTTCAATTGGCATTCCTTCTTCATAATGCTTCACTCTATGCCCATTACTTTGAAAGGGGTCTCATCTCTTGATATAAGCTCAATAGCTCCATGTGGGAAAACTTTTTTAACAACGAATGGCCTGTCCCACCTAGTTTGTAGTTTACCCTGGAAAAGCTTTAACCTTGAATTGAAGAGTAGCACCTTTTTTCCTTCATGGAAATCCTTATGACCTTTTAGTCTCATGTCATGCCATTTATTAGTCTTGTCCTTATATATTAATGAACTAGTGTATGCTTCGTTTCTAAGTTCTTCAAGAGCATTCATTTGCATCAATCGGTTGGTATGAAGTTCAGTTAGTTCAAAATTACATATCTTCAAAGCCCAAAATGCTTTATGCTCGATTTCAACTGGCAAGTGGAAATTCTTTCCTCAAACCAACCTATATGGTGTAGTACCAATAGGTGTTTTAAAAGTCGTTCGAAATGCCCAAAGTGCATCATCAAGCTTATCCGACCACTCTTTTTTATTACTTCCAACCGATCGCTCCAATATTCGTTTTAATTCCCTGTTTGTAACTTCGATTTGCCCACTTGTTTGTGGATGATATGATGTTGAAAATCTATGGTGTACACTATATTTTTGTAACACCTTATCCAACTGATCATTTGCAAAGTGGGTTCCCCGATCACTAATTAGAGCCTTAGGAACACCAAATCTTGAAAACAACTTCTTAAGGAAACGCACCACCACACGAACATCATTAGAAGATAATGCTTGTGCTTCCGCCCATTTAGATACATAATCTACCGCCACCAATATATATTTATTTCCTTTGGACACTGGGAAAGGTCCCATAAATTCAATCCCCCATATATCAAATATCTCACAAACTTGAATGCTATTTTGGGGCATCTCGTTTTGGGATGAAATATTTCCCGACCTTTGGCATGAATCGAATTCCTTAACATATTGAGCGACATCTTTAAAAATTATAGGCCAATAAAAACCCATATCAAAAATCTTTTTAGTCGTATATTGTGCTCCATGATGTTCTCCGGTGGGCCTGCTATGGTAATGTTTCAAGATCTCTCGACTCTCCTTCTCGAATACACATCTTCTTATCATACCGTCCGCGCAGCTTCGAAAGTGGTATAGTTCATCCCAAAAGTAATACTTGATATCTAAAAAGAATTTCTTTTTTTGTTGTCTAGTTAAAAAATTTGGAATGTATTCACTTGCTAAGTAGTTGGCTATATCTGCATACCAAGGTATTTCTCCTACTATAACCATAAGATATTCTTCGGGAAAATCATCTCCAATCTTGTTTTCTTCTAATACTTCCAAGTGCGGGTTCTCTAGTTGCGATAAGTGATCAGTTGCTATGTTTTCCATTCCCTTTTTGTCTCAAATCTCATTGTCAAATTCTTGTAAAAGCAATACGCAACGTATTAGTCTTGGTTTAGCATCTTGTTTAGCAAAGAGATACGTAAGGGCAGAATGGTCGATAAATACAATTGTATTTTACAAAACTAGATATGGGGGGATTTATCAAAAGCATAAACCACCGCGAGCAGCTCCTTCTCGGTAGTAGTGTAATTTTCTTGAGTTGGGTTTAAGGTTTTGCTTGCATAGTAGATAAGTTGCAAATTTTCTCAATTCTTTGTTCCAAAACAGCTCCCACCGCATAGTCACTAGCATCACACATTAGCTCAAAAGGAAGACTCCAATTTGGGGCTATCATAATAGGGGTAGTAGTCAACTTTTCCTTTAACAATTGAAACGCTTTATGACATTCCTTAGAAAAGTCAAATGGGGCATCTTTCAAAAGAAGTTGAGTCAATGGCCTCGTGATCTTCGAAAAATATTTAATGAAACAGCAGTAAAATCCCGCATGGACTAGAAAGCTTCGTACCCCTTTTACATTTGTTGGGGGTGGTATTTTAGCTATAGTGTCAACTTTTGCTCTATCCACCTCTATCCCCGGCCTTGAGACTTTGTGTCCTAACACAATCCCTTCCTTTACCATGAAGTTACACTTCTCCCAATTTAGGACTAGGTTGGTCTTCTCACATCTTGCTAACATTAGGTCTAAGTTAGATAAAAAATCTTAAAAAGAGGACCCAAAAACCGAGAAGTCATCCATGAAAACCTCCATAAATTTCTCGATCATGTCATGGAAGATAGCCATCATGCACCTTTGGAATGTAGTCGGTGCATTGCATAACCCAAATGGCATGCGTCTATATGAAAATGTTCCACTTGGGCAAGTAAAAGTGGTCTTTTCTTGGTCTTGTGGGTCAATCGGAATTTGGAAGTGCCCCGAGAATCCATCAAGAAAACAATAGTAGAGATGGTCGGATAGTCTTTCGAGCATTTGATCGATAAATGGTAGTGGAAAATGATCCATGCATGTAGCATCATTAAGCTTTCGATAGTCGATAAAAATGCGCCACCCGGTTACTAGTATTGTTGGGATTACCTCGTTATCTTCATTGGTAAAGACCGTCATTCCTCCTTTCTTTGGTACCATGTGTACCGGACTTACCCATGGGCTATCAGAGATTGATTAAATGATACCGGCATCTAAAAGTTTAACAACCTCCTTTTTAACTACTTCTTGCATATTTAGGTTAAGTCTTCTTTGGCGTTGTACTATGGGCTTAGCTCCTTCTTCTAGGTTGATCTTATGGGAACAATAGGATAGACTAATTACCTTGATGTCGGTTATCTTCCATGCTAAGGCACATTTTCTTTTCTTTAGTATTTCCACGAGGCTCTCTTTTTCATGTTTTGCTAGATCAGACGCTATAATTACTGGTTTTTGTTGCCCTTCTTCCAAGAATGCATACTCCAGGTGCTTCGGTAAGGTTTTAAGCTCAACTTTTGGTTTTTCGTCAGTCACCACGACGTGGGCTTCCTGCCACGTCGTGGTATCGCAACGTTTAATATCAGATCGTGGAAAAAATATTGACCATGACGTATTGCTATCACCACATCGTGTTGCCTCATCTGCCTCTTTCTTCACTTCATTGTATTCACTTTCCTCCAATAGCTTCTCTAATTATTGTAGATCAAGTTCAACATAAAAATTACCTTCTTCAAGAACCATATATCCCTTTGTTTATTTTTCCTTCCACCCTCCTAGCTCTTTTTCAAGTATTTCATCTAGCACATCGACAGAAAAAACCGTATCGTCACTTATTCGTGAATGTTGGATTGCCCGATTAACCCCAAAAGTGACTGCTTCTTCTCCTACTCGGAGAGTGAGTTTGGAATCTCTAATATCAACTAAGGCTCGGGCGGTGCTCAAGAAGGGCCTTCCAAGGATGATTGGGACTTGTTCGTCTTCTTCCATATCTAATATGATGAAATCCGCGGGAAAAACAAACTTGTCAACTTTTACTAGCACGTCTTCACATATACCCCTTGGGAAGGTCATGGTCTTGTTGGCTAAATGTGTGACCATGCGGGCCGGTCTTGATTCAGGGAGATCAAGCTTCTTGAAAAATGAATAGGGCATCAAATTAACACTAACTCATGAGTCGGCTAGAGCATGACTAGTTGCCAGATTCCCGAATTGGCATGGTAAGATTATGCTCCATGGATCCCACATCTTATTAGGTAACATGTTTAGCATTGCAGCGGAACAAGTTTCATTCAATAGTACTTTTGATAATCCCTCCATTTTCTTGCGGTTTGTTAAAAGGTCCTTAAGAAACTTGGCATATTTTGGCATTTCGGCTAAAGCCTCAAAGAATGGAATATTTATTTCAAGAGACTTTATGTGATCTAAGAACCTCTGATAATCTTCAGCATGCTTCTCTTGAATTGCTCTACTTGGAAATGACAATGGTGGGCGGTATGGCTTTACGGGT